TGGACTTTCTTGTTTTTCTTTGAAGACATTTTGTTTCTCATCCAAGCAGCTTCTTTGCCTGTGACTGGATGGTGGGGAATGGAGGGATTTACAGTACATTCCTTGCAGACAGCGAGTCATTTGCATTCTATTAGGGAGTCACTTGTGGCCACTTGGAGTTTTGTCTATTTCCTCAGGGTCACCTGAGTAGTGAGAATGATTATCCTGAAGACAGAGACAAAGCTCCAAGTGGCCTCAGAGACTCTCCAAAAGAATGCACCTGACCAGCTGTCTGCAAGGAATATAAATATATCTATCCCCCACCATACAGGCACTGCATAAGACGCTTCGTGGATGAGAAGCGAAACGTTTTCTAATAAAAACAAGAAAGTCCAGTTGCCTCTTGAAAAAGCACCTTCGGGACTTCAGAATTACCTTGTCCTGGTGGGGCCAGGGTCTCATGAAAAAGCAGGAGAGGATGTTTATAAGTAACACAGACTTAGTCAGAGTTATCCATGTCTCAAAATCACCCCACTTGGATGGGGTGGGAGATAGGCCTTCTGCTCGAATGAAGGATTTTCAATGATTTCTGTTTACAAGGACTCATAATTCCTTGTGACCTTTCTTTCACAAATAATTGTTTTCTTTCTTTCACTACTTTCTTTTGAGAGCAGGCAACAGAATTTTTAGACAGTGTACTCACAGTAAAAAAAAATGACAATAAAGGTTATCTTATCTTATGTTATCATTTTCCATGGATGCTAAGTCCTGAGACATTTTCTTTGGCATTCCTTCTTTTTCTTCTTAGCCTTTGCCTCATTCCAAATGTGTGGAAAATTGTCATCCTGGATTTGTCAAAAGGGCTCGGGAAGGAGAGCCAGTTTGTTGCTATGACTGCGTTCCTTGTCCAGAGGGCACCATCTCCACTCAGGAAGGTAGGTCACACTGAAGAAAGGTGTAAGTGATGCCTTGTGTAAGTGGATCCATCCAGAACATTTTGATGAAATCACATGTTCAATGTTATATTGAACCTTAACTGTTTTTCTTTCAATTTTCCAAATGCACAGTTCTTATATAAAGGAAAGAATAGCAAAAATACCTTGAAGGAGAGGCTCATGAGAGAAATAATTGTGGTGGATTGGGCAAGGTTTGTGGGGGGAAAATCTCTCTTCTGCTTAATATTTTGAATCTGTTCTTTAGTATTTATTTTTCTAGGAATTCTTTGGAAGTTAATAAAATGTCTCAGGTCCATTTCCTAAAATGATGGTTGCAATGAAATCTACATAACCTCCCATCATATCTCCCTTCTCTGGAGATACGAAATGCATCTTGGAAAATGCTGTAATATCAGTTGTTGTCCCAAGAAGGCATATATTGGAAGGTAAAAATAAAGTGTATTAAAGAAAAAATGCTTTTTTTCAGATACAGAAAAATGTACCAAGTGTCTGGATGATAAATATTCAAATGAGGATAGACTCTGATGCATCCCCAAAGGTGTATCCTTCCTGTCTTATGAAGATAATCTGGTTATCATTCTGATCTCTTTTTCCTTTTTCTTGTTCCTAACCACTGGAGTTGTTTTAATCATGTTCCTTCAGTACCGAGAAACTCCTATTGTCAAAGCCAACAACCGAGACCTCTCTTACATCCTCCTTGCCTCCCTCCTCCTTTGCTTCATGTGTCCTTTTCTCTTCATTGGTCAACCAAAGAAAGCCACCTGTCTTCTACGACAAACAGTGTTTAGTATTGTCTTCTCAGTAGCTGTGTCTACTGTGTTGGCCAAAACGATCATGGTGGTGCTAGCTTTCTTGGCCACAAAACCAGGAAACCGAATGAAGAGATGGTTGGGGAAGACCTTTGTCAACTCCATCATCCTTTCTTGTTCTGCTGTCCAAATTATCATATGTTCCATCTGGCTTGGAATTTCTCCCCCGTTCCCTGAATCTGAACTCCACTCCCAACCTGGAGTGATCATCCTTCAATGCAATGAAGGCTCTTTTGCCATGTTCTACATCACTCTCAGCTACATGGGCTTCCTAGCTGCCATCTGCTTCACAGTGGCTTTCCTGGCCAGAAATCTGCCTGGAGCTTTCAATGAAGCTAAGCTGATCACCTTCAGCATGCTGATTTTCTGCAGTGTCTGGGTGACTTTTGTGCCTACCTACCTGAGCACCAAAGGGAAATACATGGTGGCTGTGCAGATCTTCTCCATCCTGTCTTCTACTGCTGGTCTATTGGGTTGCATCTTCATTCCTAAGTGCTACATTATTGTTATCAGACCAGAACTAAATACAAAGGAAAATCTTACAGCCAGAAGAAATATAGAAATATGAGAGAGAGGAATTTTAACAATATCCTCTGACAGGATAATCTCTGAAAAATGATCCAAAATATTCTCCATATGTCAACTGAGCTAATAATTTTGCTTGAAATAAAGGGCTGATGGAAGATTGTGTGCCCATTCTTGTCCAGTAGAATTGCAAGATGGTCACTGAGCTCTTTTGAGCAGTTGAGTTAGCATTTCGGGTTTTGCTCTTTGCTTTCCTGTCAGGTCTGAAATTCCACAATTACATATTTGAAAAATGAATGTTCAATTGTTGCACCTCTTTCTACTGATTCTTACAGGTTGGGAAGTAAGGGTACATAATGTTATGCATGTAATGGGGCAGTTTTGTAGTTGGTCAACCTGGTAAGAATCAGTCCGCTCAAGTACAATAAAAATATCCTTCTCCCTTCACAGGTATATTTAGCACCTCTCTAGTTGAGAACAGTTCGAATGCAGCATTCCAAATCATGGCTATTAGATCCTTGGTGGCTTTGGGTTCCAGCTGTTGCTTTTGATTGCTAGATTGATGCATAACAAGGCTGCCCTCATCTATGATGTTACCTGCCATTTCTCACTGAAACCTGGTTGGGTCCACAGGGAAGAAAGCCAATCTTCAACTGGAAACATGTCCAACCTCGTGTGTAGATCTCCCCCCCCCTTTAGAAACCCATGAGAGAGCCCTTGCAAGGGAATCCTGTGAATGTCCCATAAGGTGACTGATGACTCTGGATGCCCCGAAGAGTGAGCTCAACTCCATTTTAACCATAATAGAAGTATGTAGCTGCCATAACCTGGATTGCAAAGGGACCCTCTTTCATGCATTGCATACAGTCATAAACTGACTAATGGGCCAAGATCATTTTAATGACATTCAGGGTTTTTCAGGCATTTCTGAAGTGGTTTTATCAAGCTGGATATATATTAGCCTGGCACTGTCCACCGATGGTCCTAAATGTTTTCAGGTGGTGCAAGGGATTTGGGCTTTAAAGGGAACCACTTTGAAAGCAGTTCTTTCTCCCTTCCATACCAAAAGGAACCTTTAAGGATCAGGGGTCTCATACTTGGTTGGCCATAGAGTCTCTGTATCAGAGGTGGGTTGCTGCCCGTTCAGCCCAGTTGACCTGAACTGGTAGTGGTAGTGGCGGATGGCTCCGCCCACCTGCCTGGATGCTTCTGTGCATGTGCAGAAGTTATGCATACACATATGAGCATCCACACATTCATGCATGAGCGAACTGGTAGTAAACCAGTTAGCAACCCACCACTGCTCTGTGTATGTTGACTGTGAATTTAAAACATGTTTACCCAATTTCACATGTTCTGGCAGGTGGTAATCTATCCCTTTCCTGTGTAATGTGGGAAGTAGATCATCACAGTAAGCCACCATCTTGTTTACATACTTTGGCATGGCACATGAGGCAATGAAAAGTTCACTTTACAGGATTAAGGGTGTTGTGTGAGTGTACCTAAATTTATCACAAATCAGCTAGATGATGGCATTCTAACCAGCATTCCAACCCCCTGCTCAGGCAGGAAACCCTGTACCATTTCATACATCAGTCAGTACTGTCTTAAAACTTCCAGTGTTTGAGCAACCAACACATAATAACTTACTATGAGCTTCAAGCCACATTCCCTATGCCTCCACTAGCCTACCAAAAAGTATCATTCTTCTGGAAACTGATTTTACCCACATTACTGTGACTAAAAATGAGACTTGGAGTATTATTATTGATTTCTTTAGGAATATAGAGGAAAATAAATAGGAGCAGTATTAGGAACAAGAGAAATATATCCTCCCCATGTGCATTTTGTTCCCTCCCTTCCCATCTTTGTCCATTTTAACCAATGTTGTTATTTATTGTTTTAATCTTTCTTCTTTTTTCTTGATTGTAAACTACATTCTGTAGAGTATCTCTAGCCAACATGGACATCACTCAGGTTTAACAAATAAATATTAACTAAATATTAAAGGTCCAAAACCTGCTGTTCAAGGCTATTAATCAACACTTTTGAAACATAATACATTTGTAAAACTCTTTTTTCTTTCAATTTTATTTTGACATCATATGTTCTTTGGTATTCAGTTCTGGCTTAAATATAATAAGGTAGCATTTGGGGATGAACATGCAGCCCAGCAAACCACTGCTGGAGGCCAAGATGGAGAAGACCTGCACAGCCACCATGTATTTCCCTTTGGTGCTCAGATAGGCAGGCAGAAAGGACACCCAGACACTGCAGAAGACCAGCATGCTGAAAGAGATCACCTTGGCTTCATTGAAGGCCCCAGGGAGATTCCTGGCCAGAAAAGCCACTGTGAAGCAGACAGCAGACAGGAAGCCCATGTATCCAAGAGCAACATAAAACATGGTGACAGAGCCTTCATTGCATTGTAGGGTGATCTCTCTAGGTAGGGAATGCATGTCAGAGTCAGGGAATGGAGGAAAACTGCCCAACCAGATGCTGCAGATGACAACTTGGAGGCCAGAACAAGAAAGGACAATGGAGTTGGCTAAGCTCTTCCCCAGCCATCTCTGCACTTTATTCCCTGGTTTTGTGGCCAAGAAGGCCAAAACTACTGTGATTGTTTTGGCCAAGATTGAAGAAATTGCAATTGAAAAGCTAATGCTGAAGGATGTCTGTTGGAGAAGGCAAGTCACTCTCCTTGGCTGGCCAATGAATAGGAAGGAGGTCAAAATGGAAAGCAGGAGGGAGACCAGGAGGATGTAGGAGAGATCACGGTTGTTGGCTCTGACAATTGGTGTTTCCAAGAATTTAATGAAGATACACAAGCCAAAGCCTGTCGTCAAAGAGAGGAATGAGGCAATGGAAGTCAGGATAATCCCCAGATTTTCCTTATAAGAAAGAAAGCTTTTCATCTTGGGAATACAATGAACTCGATTGATGTTTGGATGTTGATCTTCTGGACATTGGATACATTTCTCTGCATCTGAAAAATAGCAAGAAATAGGGTCTCCCTTTAATACATACTTTAATGAAATGCATTGTTTTGGTACACTTTTTTGGGGGTGAAAAATTGCACGTAGGTTAATTCAATATATCTCTTCATTTCCTTCCAGATAGAGCAACTTAATATTATTTTTATTTTTCATGACATCATTTTATCAATGAACCTATTTAGAGAGAAGGAGGGAGAAAGAAAGGATTCAAGAAAGGAAGGCAGTTCCATTTTACCCTTTTACTGCTAAACCTAACAAAATTTGGAGCCCAGCTTTTTGTCAATGATTTAGGGCACCAATGAGAACCAGCCTACATTGGAATGAAGTATATATGAATGATTATTCAGCATACTTTATGCTTCTGAAGTGGGTAAACCATTTGTGTGCATTAGGAAAAATGTATTAGATGGACTCTTGAAGATGAGTTGGATATGGAATGAGGACATCAAAATGCAGTTTTGTCTAAACAAAAGAGAGAGAGACAACTTCCCATAAGATCCCAGCTGAACTTGTGGAATGTCGGTCACAGGAGACATAAACCCAGGAGTTATCTAAGGCTGACCCAAAAAGAACCACCTGAAGTGATGGAGCAGTCAAAGGATTATTGTAAAGCTTAAAGATCAAAAGATGTCATCTTTCTCACAATATTCAACCCAGACTTATCCTGTATCTTAATCCATGATCTGTATTCCTGTTTGCATGACCTATAAACCAGATAGAGCTCCAAGATCATTTCTTATGATTCACTGAGACATAAATGTATATCTTGACCAAGACTCAAAGAGGTATGATCCCTCTGGAAAAGACTTTCAAAATAGACATTCATGTAAAATCTCAGGATTTATGATCCTTCCCTAAATCTGTTCTTTTCCCCTCTTGGCACCTACCTTCCAGGGTGGAGATGGAGCCTTCTCCACAAGGATGACAATTGTAGCAGCAGATGGGCTTCCCTTCCTGAGTCACCTTCATAAATCCAGGAGGACAGTTTTTCACACATCTGGAAAGGGACAGGGGCTGGGAAGAGAGAGGGGAAGAAATGTCATTCATAGCATGTATAGGATAAAGGATGTAAAAAGAAAAGTTAGAG